ACCTTGTTTTTTTCCTTCGGAGTCACATTACAATTATACTCCTGTCTCTTGCACGGCATAAGCAATCGGTTTTCTCTTTCATGCATGCAGACACGTCCTCCTAATTCATATGGAGTAGCGAGGAGAAAAAACGCAACAGAACGTAATAGACGAAAAACTTAGTCGTTATGAATTCAAGTCACGCACATCGCCAAAGATTGTACGCTAATCCCACCCGATCGTGTTCAGTCTTTGTATTCTGCAATTATCGCTCGGATCCAGCGCAATTTCGTAAAGGAACTCTGATTTCAGAATGAAACTATTTTATTTATGGGCCGATACATCATGATTTGTCTGACTGCGAAAGCCAAATCGTGCATCAGGCGCATCAGAAAAAATAATAATAAACCAACTTCTGGACTGTGTAATTACCGCGAACACAAACATCAAACTGAAAAAGGCAAAAACTATTCTGAATGGCAAACAGTGAAACAAAACTTTAAGAACAATGCACATGACAGGATCGGAAAACCGGAACAATAACCAGGTTAGGCCCAACAAAATCGAACAATTTCAGGCATGAAAACCAAAGAAGCAGCAAGCAGTCCGAACTAATAACTGTGTCTTTTCGGATTTCTATCGACAGTGAAGTTTCTTCACTGCACATGTTTGGGTAATGAAGGGGAGACGGGGTGGACCCCATAGTCGCGGAAACCGGGCGCATAAAAACCAGCAACCTAAGTCCCGGGACTTGGGGTGGCTAACCACATAAGGCCCCGTTAGGTTAGGCGTGCTACTAAACCCGCCGAAAGCAAAGCTGCCCACCACCAAAGTTGGGTGACCGTTTCGGAGCTAGGACCTCGGACCATAGTCCACCAATGTGCTCACCTCTAGAGTAAAGTAAAACCCAGTATTGGTACAGGATATAACATACATTTGAGTACTTGAAAACTGAATGATTAGTAATTGATTCATTATATGTTAGAAAGTGAAGAACATCCACTGTGAACTGAGAAAACTTGGGATTTCTCATTGGCTTATGTTTAAATTCATCACCGGCTGCATAAATCCTCATGAGCAGTTATTCCTCCGCTAACATTCTCCAGGTCTGGAAGATGAATACTCCACTGTTTATTTGGATCCAGTGGTACATCCCATACTGGTCCCGTAGACTTGATTAGTCGCGAGCACTTTGATATTTGTCAGTAGGTAGTTAAACGCCTACCATCTAATGTACACCACTGTCTGCTTAGTGAAATTCTCCCCGCAAATACATCCACTCGTTAGCATGTTGGTAAAGCTAATCTCGACTCAAATTGACTCGATTCAAATATATTGGTATTTTCCTCTATCTAGTACGCATTGTACCCAACCGCACACCCACCACCGCGAACATTACAGCCCCATTGGATGAGAGCTTCAATTTTTCATCCAGAGTTTAGTTACTGCTTTATTGTCCTACTGTAATGTGTGAACCAGACCGAAAATTCTCAACCTGACTTTCGAATTCAGAGATAACATGTTTGTTGCTTTTCACGAACGGGAGAACTGTACAATACTTGGACGAATCGATGATATCACGACGACACTGCACCTTGAAGTGGTGCGATGGCTTGCGTGCCTCCATGACCCTGCGAGCTACACAGGATGGCTTTTCACAGCCGCAGATCCTATCACACCTGAAAAATCAATGAGTAGAGGCCAGATGAAGCTCAGTAGCATAAAGCCAGCTGTTTGGGCACCTCCTGGCTTCCTGGCAATCCAATCTTGACCCTGAAGAGATCAGTCAAGCAAATAAACACGGTGAGTGGCAGTTTACCGGTCAAAAAACCCCGCAAGATGGACGTAGGAGCGAATACCTGGGGCTGGGGGAAGTCTTTGTACTTCACAGGACATCTACCGCCCGCCCAAGCTGGGCAGGGATTGCGCCCCCATCAACATCTGACCTATCACCCTCCACCTCAACTGGCCAAATATTCCTAGTTGACGCCAGTCTTCCATCAGAAAGGGAGGTTTCCCGGGGAATAAACTTTCTCAAAAGGCATAAGTCCTCCGGCACAGATGGGCTGTCCCCGTCACTTTTTAAGGGTGGAGGCTCACCCTTGGTTTTGGAGTTAACGAAACTCCTGGGCTCAGTGTGGGAGAGGGGACAGGTTCCAACTGAATGGTGTGGATCGGTCATCATACCGATTCATAGGAAATTTGACAAGTCTTCTGGTGAAAACCACAGAGGGATTAGTTTAAGTAACATTGCTTCTAAACTTTTCGTTGGCATTATACCTCACCGATTGTCTGCCGCGCGTAAACGGTCCACGAGTGAGAACCAGGCTGGTTTAGACCTGTTCGAAGTTGTATCGACCACATCTTCATTCTTCACCAAACTCTGGAGCACCGACATTCTTTTCGTAGACCCTCCATCTCTATCTTCCTGTATCTGAAAGCGGTTTTCGACTCAGTCGACCGCCCTAAACTCTGGCACTGCCTTTCCCTGAAGGATGTGCCCGAGACGTTTATTCCAATATTACGATCCCTTTACATTAATAGCCAAAATCGAGTCCGAGCTTACGGCACCTTTGGGCCCGAGTTCACCACGGAAAGTGGTGTTCGTGAGGGCTTCCCTCTCGCTCCTTTTTTATTCAACTTTGTTATAGATTTGATTATGGAAACAGTCCTATCATCGTGCGAGAATAGCGGCATCAATTTACTCCCAAGTGGCAGATTGTCTGATCTAGAGTATGCAGACGAAATTATGCTACTAAGTGAAGATCCAGGTAAGTTGCAAGCATTTCTGGATTGCTTGAATGCCATCCTAACGATGTTTAGTATGTGTTTCGCACCTTCAAAGTGTAAAATGTTACTACAAGACTGGATTGGTCCAGCATTCAGCCCCATTCTAACTGCGGAAGTAACAGAGCAAGTGGATAAGTTTTTTTATTTGGACAGCTACAGCTACCCGGTGGACGCATCACGGATGAAGTGTTTGCTTGCATACAGAAGGCTCGGTTGGCATTTGCCAACTTGAGACATCTGTGGCGCCGTCGCGACACCCGATTGTCTGTGAAGGGTCGAGTGTTCGGCCAGTTCTACTTTACGGTGCAGAAACTTGACCAGTAAGAAAACAGGATAAAGATAGATTGTCGGTGTTTGAACACCGCTGTCTACGTCGCATTGCACGAATCTGGTGGGGTAGTCGGATGAGCAATGNCTGAGGTTAGGTGCGCAGTTTTAGGTAACTGCGGTCGCCCATTGTAGCAAGTGATCGACCTGGATATAGATTACGTTGGTTGGGGCATGCGTTACGCATGTCACCAAATAGGTTGCCACAGCGAGCGATGTTCACCTAGGAAGGTAGGGATTGGAATAAAGTCTAGGGTGGTCAAGCTAAGACCTGGCATGAGGGTATGAAAACCCTAACTAGGAGTCTTGGTCGCATAGGTCCCGTAAGGCTTCCTGGATGGGGACCTCCGAATGATCGTAACCGATGGTTTTAGACACTGAGTGATATGACTGAGTGTCATAAACAGTGGCGTTCGTGCATCTTCTCAATCTTTTTAAAACATTACTTCACTGAAACTCTCTTCAATTCTACTTTCAACTTTTCCATCTTTCTCCTACGTTTCATCCGAATGGACAGCCAAAAGACAGCAACCAAAACCGGCCTACGAAAGTGCATGAATAATAATTGTTTATGCTAAACTAAACCTAAATTTTCAGTTTGAGCACTTAACCGATTAGTTTTATTCAGAATCCAGACGGTGTTGTTGCTGGGAGCTCGTGGTGTGTTGCAATACTGATGCTCACCGTTGATTCATCTTTCCACCGTTCGGATAATGTTCGCTGCACTAAGATGCCCCATAAGCTTGACGCAATCAAGCGGAGGATTGCCACGTCCAATTCGTCTGTGTGATGTCAACCAGTCCGGAACACAGTTAGGCACAAGATCACCAAATCACTAATGCTAGTGATAAAGTATCGTAGATTTAAGGACTAACCTAAATTATCCAAAAGAATCCGAGAAACTATTAATAAATGTCTTGCAACAGTTATTCTTACAAATAATGGCTTCTCATTTATCCCGATAGCAATCACTAATGTAACAAGTTATCTATCGTATTCGATTCAGAATGCACTAAAATCAACAACTGACCAAATCAATGTAGCTCAATCATCAGAGGCCCCGATATGTAACAGATCGAAACAAGCAAACATTTCCATGCATAGCAAATTGGAACCGTGGAATAGAAATGAAGTGAACTCCTGGAGAGAATGGGGTGCATTTGTTGCGATTGCACAAGGCCAATCAGCACATGAGCAAAGGTGAGCATCTCGTTTGT